GCTAGCTCATGACCATCGTAGTCTTCTGGAAAAAAATTTCTCATTTTTTTTTTTGTATCTTTCCGTCATTCTTTTATTTAACTATAGTTTCTGATAGTGCTAACACTTGAACTTTGTATTTACTGACATACTCCATCACTGAATCGTGATTAGAGGGGCAGTTGAAGCCCCTCGTATTCCAAATTGGCATTGTCATTACACGCCAAGTCCTGACTGGTGGATCTTTTAACTAAATAGGGATACTATTGGCAGTTGGCACCAACAACATCAAAGGAATCCGCTAACACAACTTGTGCAAGAATCATAGGGGTTCTATGTTTCACCCTATTAACCGCAATGTTAAACTCCTCCTGGGAAGGTAGTTCCCTAAACATGACGGGAGGAGTCTCCACTTTTTTGTGAAATCATCCCCACATTGTCTGCCATAGCTTGCTCCGGCTCTTCTTGATCCTTAACACCTGAACTACTAGCCATACCCACCATCTTGACATCTTTCTTCCTCTAGACTCTCTTTGCTTTGCTTGTCCCTCTATTGGTAAAGCACAACTATGCCTAAAGATACAGAAATAATGACAAACCACTAGGGCATACTAAGATACACATCTCATTCATGCCATCACGGGTAATACTAAGTCGATCTACCCTCTTTATTTTAGCATTTATGCCTTACGACACACAATCTATATTATTTATCACTCTCATATTTTATACATTTTTTCCTTATATCAATGCATCTTAGTGGTTATTACTTTATTTCACATGGAATTCATAATTATTTGATTTATGAGCTTATGATAAACCTTGAGTGTGTTTTTGTACAATTTTATGCCTTTTGGTGTTGTTTTGTGCTTTTCAAGGGTATAATATACTCAAGATGAATATGTACCACCAAGGGACCCAATGGACAAGAAGGAGGATGAAAGCACAAGCCCATGGACTCAAACGAAGATGGATTCTAACACCATAAGCATAAGTTATGGTCAGAGAATAATAGTTCGAAGAGTATGCAGGTTTCACAAAGTCCAAACTAGCTGAAATTTGAGGAGCAGCCCACTGAGCCCAAGATGAAGTTGTCCCAAAAATTGACCGATTTAGAGAAGAATATCTAGCAACTGGTACTAATGCTATCCAAACGCTGCTCGGACCCAAGCCCTCTAAAAACTTCCTCTTCAAGGTTACTTCGTCTCCAAGTAGAAAGAATCTGAGTCCAAGTCGTACAAGAAAAGTTTTGGACGACTTTAGGAGGAAATGGACTAAATCCCCCTCCCCCTTATGTAACTAGTATAAATAGGAGGCTAGGCGAAGCTTTAAAACACACTTTTTACCGGCACTTTGACCCAAGGGCATTAGTTAGAAATCCATAGAGAGGAGGCGTAACCCTGCTTGAGTTCTACGAAGAGCCTTCACCATTGATGCGTGTATCAATGGTGATGTTGTTCAAATTCCCTATGGTGTGCTAACTCGATCTGTTTAGGGATTTGATTCTATGATTCTTTGTGTACTACTTTCAATGATTAAATGATGAAGCATATTGTGTTTGATGTCCTTACCATCGATGCTTGAGTTAATTTATGTTTGTATCATCTATTGCTCATTCATTTGATGCTCTTTAGTTGTTGATTGCTTTAGTTAATCTATGTGTGTGACTCCTGTCAGATGCTACTATATTATTGTGCTTAATATAATTGAGATTATTAAGAAATTACACTCTTGTGATATACATTGCCTTATGTATGCTTGTTTAGTTGGACGCATCTGTGCATGTTTACATGAGATCAATGCTTGATTGTTAGATCATCAATGCTATAGACTATGAGTTATGACTCAAGAGGCCCACATTTAACTTATATTATCCTAACTTTTGTGTTCTTCATTGATAAGGTGATGGCGTGAAGTGAAAGCACACATTAGCTAGTCAAGTTCCTATTGCATGTCGCAAAAGATCAAGTAGGATGGCCTTAGTGGAAGGGACAGTGCATCATAATAGATGATGCGTAGAAGCATATTATTGATGAGTTAGTATGCATGATCATTTAGACATCCCTACCTAAACATTACTTTTCATTACTTGTTTTCTTCTTGCATTAGTGGCTTAGAAATAGAATACGGGCACCTCAACCCATCATATTTACTTTTCTTTTATTTTCTTTGCATAATTTATTTCTTTGTTTGCATTAGTAGATTAGAAGTTCAACTAAAGGAAACCTCAACCCATCATATCTACTTTTCTTAAACTATAGCTATGGGTGGATTCCATAGCTAGTGCAAGATCCTTGTTCAATTTTTTTAAGTTGAGGATTCCAGAAGTGTTTAGCAAGACTCTTATCAATCAGGCGATCACACTTGATTGTGGCGAGTATCTACCCCCACGTATCCTTTACTTTTCGAGTTGTTGAGAGAAAATTCAGAAAACCCTAAAAAGACCGAAGCTGCGACTTTGACAGAAGAACCTAAACTTTCACGTGCTTGGGGATCTTATCAAGTGGATCAGAGCTCCGGTTCAAATTAGTGGACAAGAGAAGATTACAAGCTTTCTGAAAGCTCCGGCAATGGCTGAAGAGTTATGGCAAGGTAATCTATTCCATACTCGTTGTTTGATTAAAGAGAAGTTGAGTTTTGTGCTGGTAGATGGAGGGATCAAATCAAATTTGATCAGCGCCAGAACATTGGAGAGATTGGGGATACCAACACATTTCCATCCCGCCATATTCTATGCAACTTTCTGGCGAACAGATTCCAAACGTCGTGTATACACAGACTCATGGGAAATTCAGCATTGAACGCTAATAAGAAGAGGTCTTGTGCGACGTGGTGTAAAGGCTTACAAATCACCTTAGCTGGGAAAAACATATTTCCAAGATGGTGGAGTTCATCTAGTCAGCAAAAGGTCCAAAAGCTTCCGATTGACGCATCGAAAGAAGGTATTCATTTTGAAGCCTTTATCCCCGGAGGAAGTGCCGATGATTTGAAGACCTTGCAACAATTATGGAGGTAGTATGAAGAAGAGCAGATAGCCAAATATTCGTTGCTATCCTCAGCAACCAAAGGAACAACAGCTAGAGCATAAGAGGTTGCAGAAGGAAGGACACAATTGCCATAAGCTTATGAGGAGGAGCAGAAGATCGAGGAAGTAAGAACACTTCCAAATCAGGAGACAACTAAAGAAGAGAAGTTTTCGATCAATTCCCCAGATAAAAAGTCGGTATAAGAGGTGGCAGTAGAGGAAAGTTATGAAGGTGAAGTGGTTGAGATAGAAAAAATTGAATCAAGCTATCACAATCCTTTTTGTTTTTGAAGGTGGAGGGACTGATGTGGTCCTGGGTGATGACCCAAAATCATTCCCATTGATGTTCAAAGAAGAAACCAAGTCAAGGGATGAAGAAGCTGGAAATCAGTTCGTGGTACCTACTTAGACATCTGAGGAAAGGTAGGAGATGGAGATGAAATTAGAAGTGTTTCTAAGCATCGTGAAGGCGTTGGATGATCGATTTGAAGCTTCCTGGATACCAAACGAGCTTCTTGAAGATCGTATGGTGACCAGTCTAAAATCCACCGTCTGGAAGCCAAAATCCACGATCGTGGAATTGACGTTCACACAGTGGATTTTGATCAGAACAATTTCACGCCCAAGACACCAAAATTCACGACCGTGGATTTGAGGAAGAGACCGTGAAATTTGACCTGACGAGTTTTGTTACCTTTTCATTTAGAATTCTTTTCCTTTTTGGTGTTTTCATTAGGTTTATTTTTCATACATATTTAACGAGTTGTAAGCCACGTATTTGGTTAGAGAATATAGAGATTTTTGTTTAATGAAAATTAACTCTGAGGAGTTTTCCCCATAGAGCATGAGTGTTTATAGTTCATTGCATTAGCTATCTGTGGATTCCATAGCTAGTGCAAGATCTTTGTTCGAGTTTTTCTGTTGAGGATTCCAGAAGGGCTTAGCAAGAATCTTATCAATCAAGTGATCACACTTGATTGTGGAAAGTATCTACCCCCACGTATCCTTTACTTTTCGAGTTGTTGAGAGAAAATTCAGAAAATCCTAAAAAGATCAAAGTTGCGCGACTGTGACAAAAGAACCTAAACTTTCACGAGCTTGGGATCTTATCAGCTGGTAGTGGTGGAAGTGAAGGCTCCAAGATAGTAGTTGCTGGTTTGTGACGGTTGAAATTGTTTACAAGAGCTGGAAATTTGAGGCTTAGCAAACCTTGCCTTGCTTGTTGCTCGATAGCTTCAAACTCGCACAATTCATCTTAAACGAACCCTAGAAGGACTGTTTTGGTTGAACGGGTCAACATTATCGGAGGAGAAGTCGAGTCAGATTTGCCGCGGCGGAGATGGAGGGCTTTTATGGTTGCAGAAAGTTGAGAGGTTTTGAAGTTAACTCAAAAAAGTATATACATATATAAATTAAACAAGTTAATTGTGTAAGTTGGTGGGAGGGTAAATTAGACATTTTGACTCACTCCAATTAGCTAGTTAACGGAAAACTTGATGGAACGGTAGATTTGTGATGTTGTTATGGACTTATGGTTGAAGGGTATGAAAGTTCAAAAATCTATTAGAGAGGTATATTTGTTAACTTACAATAGTAAAGGAGTATAAAATGCTATTAACCCATATATTAATCGGAAGAGAACCTACATTATTGATATTTTATCAATTGCAAATCCTACTTGACACTCAATGCAAGGAGTGAGATACGATCACTTCCTCTAAGGGGGTTGTGAGATTCACAACGAAGGGCTTTTTGGGTATGAAAAAATCAAATTTATTTATTAATATTTTCATATTAATAACACATTAAGAATTAAAAATCCATATTAAATCATGTTTTAAAAAAATCCTATAATTAATACACTTATATATTTCTCTATCTCTCTCTTCTTTTTCCAGCCTCTCCACTCGAACCGCCAACCTTTCTCCAACTAGCACACTTTTTTCGGTGAAATCCTTCAATCAGACCCACTTCGGGAACCTGCAAAAAAGTAGCACTTCGTCGGTGTGCTAGTGGTAGTGATTTTCGTCTAGTGGTACCGCTACCAGATCTGGAATATGAAAAATCAGAGATTTGGAAAAAAATCAGGGGATGAGGAAAGGGAAAGGCAGGGGAGAGGCGGTGACCTCGCGGCGGCACCGTGAAGACGAGAGGTGGTGGTTGGCGGAGGAATGGGGAGGCAAAGGCGGCGACGACGGTGGTGGTGTAAAGATGGCGGCAGACACGGTAGGGGCGACGAGGGCAGCGTGGTGCGGCAAGGGCGATTGGGGCAACGTGGCCCTGCTAGGGGCGGCGGGGACAACGTCAGCGTGAGGACAACGGGAGGAAGGCGACGACGACAACGGTGTTGGAGGTCGCCGATGGAGCTTTTTGGCTGCTAGGGTTTTTTGTTAGAGATAGGCGAGAGGGGAAGAGGAGGGAAAAGAAGGGAATGGAGAGAAGGGGGTCTGTTTTTTTTTTTTTTTTTTTTTTTTTTTGCTAATGAAGAGTATTTAGATGGAAAATGGAAAGGATCCCATGTGGTAAGTTTTGCATTCCGAAATTGCCCCTAGATTATTACGTACTATTAATTAAAAAATAGGAAGAAAGAGAAGATAATGGAAGGTTATGATATGAGTTGCCATTTTCACAAGCCTTAAATGGAATGTGACGGTATTGCGCCACAATATGCAATTGTAAAGAAAATCGCTAATACGCACTTGAAAATATAGAAACTTGCATTAAATGAAAGTGAAGATAAGCCACATAGTAAATTTAAAAAAACTATATTTTCTCCCTTAATTGATTTAGAGATAGCTAGGCATAGGTGGGAAGGGTGGAATTGTTAGGTCTTCATTTGAGGGTAGGAGAATGTGAAAGAGAGGAGGTGGTTGGTGAGATAGAGTCTATCTATTAGAAGGATTACTCTATAAAGACGACACATGGAATGGAACAGAAGGATCTCAACTTTCAAGGATGGTTTCTTTGTTCTTTATTTTCTCTTGCTATAAGTTGATCCACTTCTTAATTTAGTGGTCACATAACCATTTGTACTGGTCCATTTTTATGTATTTTCGTTTTTAACTCCTTATAAAAAATATTTTCGTTTTTAATATCTGAAATCACATTTGTAATGTTTTTTTAGTGAAGTCAACATGTTTGTATTGCCGTCTAAGCACATTTATTAACGAAAGAGTAAAAGTATTATAAATATATAAATATGAAATCTGCATTTATATATGTATACCATATTGTAATTTCTGAGATCTTTTTATCAATCAATACAATACAAGATTATCTTTTATAAAAAAAAAATTATTTGAGTCTTGCTTCAATCTAATATGAAATTATATTCTGGGTTGACGTTATCAATTCTTATTCCATTTTTTCTTTACGAAGTTTGATCATCCAATTCATAACTAATTATTCCGATGAGAAATTCAAAACATATCACTGTCTGATGGTGTAGGCGACCGACAATGGAACGAAGTCAAATTTACTGTTTCCGTCTCTTTAACCAGGTCTGCATCTCCAAAGAAAATGAAAGTGAAACGTCCGCTGAAACATAGCCGGAAGGGAAAGATCACGAAGAAGAAGAAAACAGGTTCCAAATTAAATTGGAGTTATTGGCTTATGGCCTCCCTCTCCCTCTATATAAGATTAAAGGAAATATAGTCCTGCAAGGCTCTGCAATCGCACAATTCAGCATAAAAGGGAAAAGAAGTATATAACAGTAAGAAGGGCATCAATTCAAGACAATGGAGAACCAGAATCTTAAAGAAAAGGAGAGCTCGAAAGATGCTGCTGGCCTGCTGCTGCTTCATTTTCAAGTTTCGTTCTGAATCCTCTGTTGCTTTTGTCTAGACTCCCTTTTGGCCCTTTTTCCCCTGTTTCTGGCCATGCCCGTTTGATCGCAACCTTAGCTTTAATTTGGCGCCAACGCTAAACTCAGCCAGGCAGAAGCCAGCACATAGAAATGGAACCAGAGAGAAGAACTGAAACAACACAAAATAAAAGCAAAAAGAAACTAACCCTTTTACCAAAAAAGAAAAAAGTAACTGATCAAAGCTTCTTCTTCACAATCGAAGGAACCCAATAAAGTAGAACTCCTCCTTATACATAAACGCGATGAAAGTATGGAACTTTTTGAACTTTTCACTTGTAGTGCATAACAGGCACGCCAGAGTTCGTATCCCACAGTCCTCCTTCCTTCACATACTCGATGTACCTAGCGAACTCCGGCCTCGAAGTGGTCCTCTTGCTCTGGCGCCGTCGATCAAAGAGGCTGAAAAGTGGGTGGCTTTTGTTAACCTTCATCGCCGGTTTCACGGCCGGGACTGATGGCAAGCTCTGCTCCGCAGCCACCTTGTGACCTCTATCGGAACCTGGAAATCGAATTGGCACGGTGTTGGTCCTTTTAAGCTCATAATCACTGTCTCCTCCCAGAAGATCGGCTGAAGAAGGTTCAGTATTGTCAGCTAGCTTTTCATACTTGCTGTGGCTTCTGCGGGTGCTCAATGTTCTCAACATGGTTGAAGGGTAATTGGTGGTTGGAATTGAAGTTGCGGAAAGGAGTGATTGTGGTTTCTTTGTTTTTTGATTTGGTGAAGAATTGATGGGTTGTGTTGTTATGCTTTAACCTTCTGAAGGGGAAAACATGCTCTTATATGTGCAGAGGGCAAGAGAGATGATGGTTATGGTAGTAGGTGAAGAATAGGCCAGCAGAAGGGAAACTGCAGAGCAAGAAGGGAGTTTGTTAAACTTGGTCAGCAGCTCTCATTGTTTTTATTTTATTTTATTTTATTTTATTTTATATATGTTGTGTCATTGTTATTGTATCCTTCTTCCTAGGTGTATTTTGGATCTTGTGGCTAGGATCGATATAGGAATTTGTTTAATTTGGGTCACTTTCAGTGAGGGCATATACAATTTTTTGTTAGTTAAAGCTTCATATTTTATCTTTGTGAATCTAACCAGTTGGACTTGGTATTTACTCATAAGTATGTTTGATTTGGTCCTAGTTAGTTATGTCTAATCTCATCTATGCAAAAAAAAAAAAAAAAAAACTCATATACATTGACTCCAATTAAGTGAAAAGATTTTATGATGGTAACTGGTTGTTTGATGATAATTGATAATAGGTTAAGGATGTGAATATTGATGATTTGAAAAAATTGTTATGTTGTTATGAGATTTGAAGATGTTGAATAAAATGTGAGTTGGATTTCGAGTAGAATGTTTTGATAATTGACGAACTATATAGTTCTTTTTCATATGGTCTAAGAGCATCCACATTGGGATTGCATTTTAAATTCTAAGATGATATGGCATGAGTATTTGCAATTGCAAAATAAATTGTATTGATTTGGCTATCAAGTGTATATTTGCAAGCTTGCAGCAAATGCAATTGCATATGTAAGTCAAAAAGGGCTAAATTTAATTATTGTGTTGTTTGTTGCTTGATTTGTGTAACACCCTAACCCAACCAAGTACTACTTTTATCAAAATGCCCTTAATAAATTATAAACATTAAATTCGTGGGAGAAAACGGAAGCATCATGTAGAAAGAAACCAACATGAAAATTTAAAAGATCACTGTGACGTGAATCATTTGAAAAAAATGAAAAGCCTTCATAAAACTACATCAAGTCTCAGTCCCATCAGTTATCAAACTTAACTAACTGCATACTGGAGTCCCTGAAATCGCCGATCTTTAGATGTACTGACGACTTTCTGAGCGTACTTCTTGAGCTTTTACAATTCCTGAATGCAGGCGATGGGATCTGTCCTAATCATAATTTTGTTATCATACACAAACATATAGGCATGCACATGCAATGCTTTTGCTACGCTATTAGGTACATTAGTAGAAGTATATTATCATTAACATATTCTTACTTATAGTATCTTCTTCTTACTTAACATGAAATGAGATCCCGAACTCCACTTAGCTGGCTCACACGTCTGACCACGAAAATTTGATAATCGTGATAAGCTTGATAACCTGATAAGTACTTCCTCACAATGGGAAGCGAGTCTGATAAACTTTATAACTTGATAAGTACTTCCTCACATATGTTGGGGCCTAATTATCATTATTGGTAGCCAATTTGTAACCACGATCATCATCCAGAAAAATCTTGTTAAATCTACTCAATCCCAAAAAGATTAGCAGTAAGTGCATACCATTCAATGTCTAGGCGATTTACCATGAACACAAACAACACAATATTCATTTCTCTCTTCAATCATCATCTCAATGACCTAGGAATCGATTTGTCCTATCAAGTTCAAATCCATACACAACCATCTCATGGTTATCATTCTCAAATTCATACAAAATCACGAGGGTCTATCAAAATATTATAGTACAAATGCATCTCACATTTTTAATCAACATCGTCAAATATCATAACAATTAGGGGTGGTAAACAATTTTCCGGTTAACGGTAAAATCGGTGATCGAACCGGTAACCAGCAGTAACTAGTTATACCGTTAACCAATGATATCAGTATACGGTCGTCAAAACCCGGCTATCAGTATACTAACTAATTCCCGGTTAGTAACTGGCGGTTACTCGATATACCGAATAACCGAGTACTAGCCCTTCCCTCTTCTTATACTCTTTAATCGCCTCCCACCTCCGTCTCTTTCACAATCTCTCCAACCTCCTCTAACCTCTCTCTAATCGATGCCCACCTCCAGGCTTTCTCAATCTCCCCAACCCTTCTATCTAATCGCCGCCGACCCTCCTATCTCTCTCGATCTCCCCAACCCTTCTCTCTAATCGCCGCCAACCCAAGACCGCCGAGGAAACACCCGCGATCCCCCCCCCCCCCCCCCCCCCCCCCACAACAACGGAGTGCTACGAACGAACGTCCTTATCCACCCACCACCGCTGCCGCCGCAATCGAGAGGCGCTCTGGGGCGAGTCGTCGGAATCCTCATCCCCAATCGCCATCGGTGGTCCTGTTGTATTTCTTTCCATCTTCGTTTCTCTTCGTCGTTTCCAGCAGAGAAAAGGGATAAAGTCGAGGGAAGATGGGTAATTGGGTATCTAGGGTCGAGAGAAGGAGAGGAGGGTATGAGGGATTCTTTTGTTTCCTTTTAGTCGATTTTTAGGAAAGAGAGACGAGAGAAGGAGACTAGGGGGTATCCGGGTATGCATGAGTGACGGTTACGAGAATCAAGCCATCGTAAATATTGGGTCTCGATCTGGCCTTGGTTATTTTATTATTTAGTATTTTATTTATTAATTATCTTTATTAGTAGCTTTCTTGTCTAAGTAGGATTTGGTTAATGTTAGTAATTTCCTTATAAGAGTAGGAGTCATGTTATAGATAGGATAGGGTAGAGGCTTTTGTGTCTATAAATATGTACTTGGTCTTTCGTTTAATGGTATGTTGAAGATTGGAATCCAATAGTAGTTGTAGTTATCTTCGTTTCTCTGAATATTCTCTTCATTCCAACTCTCTTTCTTAAGAATATCTATCAACATCAACGACGCACGTTACTTGAAGGTTCTCACCGGAGAAATACACGTAACAGTGATCTGATAAAAAGAGCTCTTAATTCAATAATGAAAAAGGTTCTATGAGAAGATATGGTCATATGGGCATGTGCATGGGCGATCTAATGGCGATAGGAGATGAATGGATCCCGATTGGAGTTTCTAAAGAGAGATCATTTGTTCTAGGTGGAGTTGTAATGGACTGAATTGGAGAATTTTGGATTAGTTAAGGAAAGAGAAGGAAAAACGCGATCCTCTATTCTATTGTGATTTGTGTTTTTTTTACCAACCCTATCATGTTAACCGGGTTGGTAATCGGTAACCGACTAATCAGTTAGCCGGTTAATCAATTATTTTTCAGTATCGATAGTCGGAAGCCATTTATTAGGATTCGGTATACCGTTAACCGGCTATCCGATTACCTGTTAAATCGATTACCGACCGATTACCAACCCTAATAATGTTTGAACCTACTAGCTCGAGGTACGAACAATAATGATTGTTGGTGTGGGGTTGACTCATGATCCGTTCGTCTGATCTCGTCGGGAGGGAAGAAACCTGTGAAAAGTGCCGGGGTTGCCCCCCGGATTAAGCTCCGACGATCAAGTTAGTATCTGTTTGTGGAGAGAGTTGAGAGAATAGATAGAGAGATAAAGTGTAGAGAGATAGTAGAAAGTGGAAAGTGAGGAGAGAGGAGAAGTCCCCTTCAATGGGGAGTTTCATGCCTTTAAATACTTCGTAGTGGTGTTCGTCCGGAGCACGTTACCGATTGAGCGCCCCTTATTTAGTCCGCGCGTGGAGTATTTAGTAACACCCCCAACAATTGCCCCCCAAGCTGGTGGTGAGTCTTAACTCATCGCTAGCTTATTACTTTTTTTTTCTAAAAAATCTTCGTCGGTAATTTTGGGTGGAGCCCTATGTACCCCAGTTTCCCCCCAGCTGGTGGCGCGTTTGGCTGACGCGGTGCCAGCTTTCTGCGTCATGCCCCCCAGTTGGTGTATTTCATTAAGGCGTGTAGCCCTCACTCATTGTAGATTCTTCATGGAGCTCTCCTCGTCGTTTTTTTTTTAACCCTCAGTTTGGAGTTCTCCTCGTCGGGGTTTCTAACCCTCAGTTTGGAGTCTTCGATGCTCTTATTGAAGTCTTATTTGTGTGCTTCGTTGAGACTCATTTGTGGCTCCTCGTCGGGGTTTTTAACCCTCAGTTTGGAACCCTCCTCGTCGGGGTTTTTAACCCTCAGTTTGGAGTCTTCGATGCTCTTATTGAAGTCTTATTTGTGTGCTTCGTTGAGACTTATTTGTGGCTCCTCGTCGGGGTTTTTAACCCTCAGTTTGGAGCCCTCCTCGTCGGGGTTTTTAACCCTCAGTTTGGAGTCTTCGATGCTCTTATTGAAGTCTTATTTGTGTGCTTCGTTGAGACTTATTTGTGGCTCCTCGTCGGGGTTTTTAACCCTCAGTTTGGAGCCCTCCTCGTCGGGGTTTTTAACCCTCAGTTTGGAGTCTTCAAGGCGTCAAGAACTTGGTGAGTTTCTCATCTCTCACGTTGTTGGGTAGGTCTTGCCCCCCATTAGCACCATAAACGCTCAAGAAAGCAAAGCATTTCAATATTTAATCATGATAGAGGGATAGAGTACTTAGCTTTAAGGTGATGAGCTCGACGCAAATAGTTGTGTACAGGCACCGCGCAGCAGTAGCATCATGTTGTCTTGTAGCCTAACGGTTGAAGCGAATTCTAGTGAATTGGTGGACCCTGGTTCGAGTGCTGGCGGTGGTAACAATTTTTTTGGCAGCAATCCGCCTTTGTGGGCGTGCTTGGATGGGCTAGATACGCTAGTTGAGACATGTTGGTCTTGGCGGCACTGGAGCGGGCCGCGAGTTGTAGTTGGGCGCGATCTCGTGACGCTCGACGGATCGGGGCAACTTCGATGGCGGGCCGCGAGCTGAGAGAGAAAATGGGCCGGATGACATCAAGTGGGGCGAGAGCCGCGAGTTGGCCCGGGCTGGTGAGATGCGGGCGCGTGGGGCGGCGCGAGCCCATGTAGTGGCGCAGGTCGGATGACATCAAGCGGGGCGAGAGCCGCGAGTTGGCCCGGGCTAGTGAGATGCTCGCGCGTGGGGCGGCGCGAGCCCATGTAGTGGCGCAGGCCGTGCACGCGAGTTCGGACCTCCGCTTGGGCCTAGTTGTGCGGGCCGTGAGATGGAGGTGGCCCATGAGACGCGGTTTGGGTTGGGAGCCCATTGATGAACAGAACGCGCAGAACTAGAAGTGCGATTTGTTCCGTTTTTTTTTCTTCTTTTTCTCTTCTTCTTCTTCTTCTTCTTCTTCTTCTTCGCGTTCATTCTCCCTCCCGCCCGCAAATTATCGCCTCGCGGAGCTTCTTTGGGCGGAGGTGAGCGCGGTGCTTCGGACGGCACACGCGGCAGCGCTTCGAACGGTGCTCCGCGACGAGTGGCTCCTTTCTTTTCTCTGCGAGCACGGGTATTGGTGGAGCAGGGCTCGCGGCAGAATCACTCTTGGCGATCGGTGGGGAGTTGTGCGGCGGAGGGGTCCGGCGCGGTCCGGCGAGGTTGTAGTAGTCGAGGGTAAAATGGAGAAAATTGATTACCATGGGACCTCGGCTTCAACATCTGGGTGGCTGAAGATCTTGGCAGCAGCGGCCCTCTTGTTTGTTGGGATTGGCTCGCCGGCTGGGGTATAGGTATCGCACATGACCAGGATGTTGTTTCCCTTTCTGAAGGGATCCTTGAAGATCGCTTGTGGATAGAGGATGACTTCGCTGTCATCGCCGGGAGCTTGGTTGGTGGAGCTGGCGTCGTAGTTCCATTTTGGTAGCTCAGACGGTTTGGTCACTGGCTTGGGCAGAGCCCTGGCTTTGCTCCTCAGGTCCATACCAGATCCACCAACCCAGATGTACTCGGCGATGATCTTCTCGGTGGTGTCGGAGAGATTAAGGTTAACGAGATCGTTGAGGGAAGCCATGGCTGACCGGAGAACTGGAGGGAGACCGGAGAGTGAGAGAAGACGAAGTAAAGGAAGAGAAGAAGAAGAAGAGTTGGAGATGAGAGGACAAAGATCAAAGAGCAGGAGGTGCTGAGAATCGCAGACGGGATCAATTTCTTCCTCCCGTCGCGTTGCTTTTTTTTTTTTTTTAATGCTTCCACCATTCTCTCCTTTTCACAGATCTTCTCCTTTAGAAACCAGATGAATAGAATACGTGAATCAGCCCCACGGTGGGCGCCAATTGTTTGAACCTACTAGCTCGAGGTACGAACAATAATGATTGTTGGTGTGGGGTTGACTCATGATCCGTTCGTCTGATCTCGTCGGGAGGGAAGAAACCTGTGAAAAGTGCCGGGGTTGCCCCCCGGATTAAGCTCCGACGATCAAGTTAGTATCTGTTTGTGGAGAGAGTTGAGAGAATAGATAGAGAGATAAAGTGTAGAGAGATAGTAGAAAGTGGAAAGTGAGGAGAGAGGAGAAGTCCCCTTCAATGGAGAGTTTCATGCCTTTAAATACTTCGTAGTGGTGTTCGTCCGGAGCACGTTACCGATTGAGCGCCCCTTATTTAGTCCGCGCGTGGAGTATTTAGTAACACCCCCAACAAATAACAACATAACAATTCATTTCTTTAATCATCAAATTTCACATCCTTAACATATTATCAATTATAACCAAACAATCATTTCTTTTTATGAACGATAACATTATATTATCATAAAAAAAACTCATCACTGTTAACCAAAAATGCGGTTAGCGGTTACCCGCCAAACAAAAAATCATTACCGTTAGCTGATCCCAACTATGTTTCCCAAACGAATCCTCTCCCTCTCCCACAATGTTTTTCTTTCTTTAGTCAACCCTTTGGATGATCTCTCTTTCTCTCTCTCTCCTTCTCCCCCATATAATAATTTGCTTCATAGAATTACAGTGTAAAAGTAGTATTATTTATTGACACACAAGAGGAAAAGTATACTCTTTTTAAATGTTGTGGCCATGAAAATGGCTAGTTAGTTTAGCTTGTGATCCCTCTCCCATTACTTATGGTACAAAAGGGATGATATATATGCAATGTTATGCTTTCATGGTACTGAGCACTTCGTCAATTACTGAGCATTAGTTGATCCTGTTTCTTGGGAATTACCCTCTATTATTGTTTTACTCTACTTATTAATATGCTCTGAATGTTGATCAAAATTTTACGGACAGTCTTGCATATTCATGATTAGCACTGTCTTCAACTAAAATATTAATACGTTCTTACTTATGTTAATCATTAGTTGATCCCGTTTCTTGGGAATTATCCTCTATTATTGTTTTACTCTACTTTTTAATATGCTCTGAATGTTGATCAAAATTCTAGGACAATCTTGCATATTCATGATTAGCACTGTCTTCAACTAAAATATTAATACGCTCTTAATGTTAATCACGATGGATTTGATCTTTTAATTTGCTACACCGTTCAAACGGTTGGTTAAAAATAAAACAACCTTTATCGGTTATTAATCGGTTAACCGCTAAGCATCAGTGATTAACAGTTCATCTTTGTGGCTAATGAACAATTTTTTTTACTTTTTTTCATGAACAGTGCCGAAATGCATATATTTTTTCCTTTTCCGTGAACAGTAAAAATGAAAGAACAATACCTCTTGCCCCTGAGTTTGAACCGGGCTCTAATACCACCTAATAAAGAATCCTGAGCCCGTGAAAGCCTAGGTTCTTTTGTCAAAGTCACGCAGCTTCGATCTTTTTAGAGTTTTCTGAATTTTCTCTCAACAACTCGAAAAGTAAAGGATAGGGCCGAAATTGTTGTGCAATCAACATGAAAATGGGAGAAGGCTCGAACAATATAAGGGTAGCAACTTGACCACAATCAAGGGGAATACCTGATTGATACATAGCTCACTCGAATACTGGAGATTCACCAACAAACAATGACAAAATTCTAGAGCAACACGCTCAATGAACAAAGGGTCTTTCCATTATCAAAGTCTTAATAATCTTCATAATCTACTAAAATTCGTGGCTTACAACCCTTTAAATAGGTATGGAAAATAAATCTAATGAAAATACCAAAAAGGAAAAGAATTCTAAACAAAAAAAGGTAAAAAAAAATCGACAGGACCAAATACCTGGTTGGGTATTTCCTCCTTCCGCCAGGGGTGCTCCTGTCGGGGATTCTCCTATTGTGTTCGTGCTTTTCTGTTGGCGAGGAACAACATAAACTTAGGCGGTTTATCACAATGGACCGAGGAAACTGTGGGACGCGCCGCTGGACGATGTGAAGTGCCCAGTTAAACTGAGATTGTGCTAGACGATCGAGCAGAGCGGGCCAGGACGGGGTAAGTAGTGGGTCAAGCTAGAGCCAGTCTCCAAGCTAAGGTATGAGGTGAAATAGGCGGCAAGAAGCCATGTTACGGGCCAGAACTACGCGACCTCGTCGGTATGTGCGAAAGAATGGGGTTGCGTTAACCGAAACTGTTGGGCCTAGGCTGGAAGGGAGTGATGGTCTAGGAAGAGAGGGTGGTCCAAAATTATTTTGGTAAACAACACCGTCAAATTGCGGCATAAAGCCGAGAAAGTTACCTAAGGTTTCGAGTTCTTGTATGCAATTGCTACAGCGGGAAGACAGTGCGCGCGAAATCGTCGAAACTTGTTTCAATCGGGACACGAAGATTGGACACTCTGAAATGAAATTTACAGCTTTTGATGAGAACAAAGAAGGAAGACGATCATACAAAGCGGTAAACCTTGAATGTAGTGTTGGTCTCAAATGGAGGATATGGTAGAAATCACGGTTTCTGTTACTATCATATAGTTATTAGGCAAAATACAACTGTATAGCCATAACTATTGACATTGTGATATAGCCAATTTTTTAGAAATACACGAAATGTCCAATTCCGTAAAAAATATTAACGGAGTCATTTTAGTTGTTGACTGGACTAACATTTTGCTTACGTGGCGACAATATTTTTTTTTCTGATTAAACACTTAAAAAATATTGCCATGTGGAATTAACTAAATTCACTTGCATATCCATAACTATCGACTTTGTGACAATAATAGCAAATTTCCGAGAAATACACAAAATGTCCAGATTTTGAAACATGTTTGACAAATTTAGCCACTTCCGTTAAAAACTTTAACATCATTAGAGATTATGTCAGTTACATTAACAAGATGCTAACGAGGATCTCACCTTGACGTATAGGTATGCGACAACTCGACATGTCAAGTAAGCAAAAAAACGTTAAGTTCAGTCAACATCTAAAATGACTTTGTTAAAGTTTTAGACGAAATTGGACATTCTGTGTATTTATGAGAAATTGACTATTATTTTCACAAAGCCGATAGTTTTGGTTATACGTGTGTATTATGTCATTAAAGTATGACGTAGCATCCTCGTCAGCATCTTGTTGATGCAAACGGCGGAATCTCTAATGGCGTAAAAGTTTTTAAGGAAAGTGGCTAAATTTGTCAAACATGTTTCTAAAATCTGGACATTTTGAGTATTTCTCAGAAATTGTCTATTATTGTCACAAAATCGATAGTTATGATTATACAAGTGAATTTTGCCTAGTTATTATTAGAATTTTAGCTAGGTTAGTAGTGTTCAGGTAGAACTAGATAATTTATCAAGCATATTTCAGTGTTTTCCTATATATATACTTTGTCTATTTCATTATTAATTATTGAGAAGTAAATACAAAAGTTTAAACCTAGTATGTCCTAATTCCTAATTTCCTCGGCTTTCTCCCTGAACTCGCCGCCGGCCAAATTGCAAGTGACAAGAAAAATACAAGAAGAAAATACAAAGATAAAATAAGAAGATATCGATCCTAGCACAAAGATCCAAATTACACCAAGGAAGAAGGATACAATCACAATGACACAGCTGCTGACCAAGTTTAGCAAACTCCCTTGTTGCTCGGCAGTTTCGGCTTTGTGCTGGCCGATTCTTCACCTACCGTAACCATCGTCACTCTTCACCTGCGCATATAACGGCATTTTCCCCCTGCAGAAGGTTAAAGCACAACAACAACCCATCAATTCTTAAACAAATCAAAAACAAAGAAACCACAATCACTCGTTTCCCCAAATTCAATCCCAACCACCAATGTTGAGAGCATTGAGCACCCACAGAAGCCACAGCAGCAAGTATGAAAAGCTAGTTGACAATACTGAATCTTCTTCAGCCGATCTTCTGGGAGGTAGTGATCATGAGCTTAAAAGGAGCAAGAAAATTCGATTTCTAGGCTCCGGCGGAGGTCACAAGGTCTCTGTGGAGCTTAAATTGCCATCACTCCCGGCTGTGAAACCGGCGATGAGGGTTAACAAAATCCACCCACTTTTCAGCCTCTTCGATAGAAGGCGCCAGAACAGGAGGATCACTTCCAGGCCGGTGTTCGCAAGGTACATCGAGTATGTGAAGGAAGGAGGATTCTGGGATAAGAACTCCGACATGCCTGTTATGCATTACAAGTGAAAAAGATTCATGCTCTCATGTTTGTAAGATATTAAAAGGTTAACATACCCTTTCCCAACAACTTGAGTTATTGGGATGAATTAGTTTGTTCGCTAACATGGTAGCAGAGTTTTGAACCAAAAGGTTATGATTTGAACCTCATGATAATCCCCTATTTAACAAGGTTTAGTATAAGGATGGTATTACCAACCTGTGCAAACTAAAAGCAGAATAGTATAGCTCCAAAAGAAATGATATGTTCAATCTATACAAGTGATTTGTTCGTTAACCTTATAAGAAGTTTTCTGAGTTCCTTCAATTGTGTAGAAGAAGCTGTGATCAGTTGCCCCTTTTTTTTATCTGTAAAAGGATTAGTATTTTTTTTTTGTGCCTCAGTTCTTCTCTATGGTTGCATTTCTTTTTTTTTTTTTTTTTGACAAAATGGTTCCATTTCTATGTGGTGGCCTCTGCGGCTGAGTTTGAGTTGGCGCCACATTAAAGCTAAGGTTGCGATAAAATTGGGTTAATCAGTATGTGGTTCGATCAATTTGTTGTCAAGGTCGGACCGACACCAACCAAACTGGTTCAACCTGACCCATCATCCACTTTGCAATTCCCTCCCGCCATAGATTTTCTGCCTGTGGAATAATTACCTCCCACAATTTTTTTTATTAAGAACAGATCGAGGTAATATAAGAAAAGACAGTATAGAAATCTAGAAAATATAAGATGGTGGAGTTTTGCAAGATTTTCAACATTTGAAATTTCATTGTTTCTCCTTAATTGTAAGTAAAAGTAATTATATTTTAATTTTAAAATTAAAATATAGATTTCTTTCCTTATTTTTGTAGTGCAAGAAAAAAGTGGGGAGAGAGATGAGATTAGGGGGAATGAAATAATATAAAAGATGTTCTGTTTTTAATTATATACATTTTTATGACATGTTCCTTGATTTTATATCTTTGGAATATTATTTAATTTCATAATCAATATGCAACCCTTTACTAATATGTATTTTATTATACTATAAATGAACTGGTAGTTTGTTATTGTATTGGATTGGTTTGATTTTTTTTTAATTTATGTAGACTACTTTTCATGGGATAATTATTTTCTTATGGTTAAAGCAATATAGTTAGAAATTGACAATTGAGTCACCCAAAAAATATAGCTACAAATTAAAATTTTATATAATTTTTTTTGTTTGATGTTAGTATTTAATTAACAGGATATTGTAGTAGAAACTCCAAAATGTTACTGCTTACAGAGTCCGGTTATGAATAATATAGCTGGTTTACAAACTATAAATATCACTAATAAAGAATTAAAAGAGAGGAGGGTGGTGTTGATAATCAATTTTTTCAATATCATAGCTTTTGTTTATTTCATTTTTATTTTAGCTATACTCTTAGTTAAGACCACCTTCTTTTAGGAGTGGTTCCTATTCTCGTTTAAGATACAATGTTTATAATTTTTATTGATTTTCAATAATTCTAAATGTGTTCAAAAAATGATTAATTAAGAGTTTTATCTATTTATCCATTTATAAAATCAGTATATTGGGTACAATTCATCCTTTTAACTTTAGAATTGAGGGTAAATAATTTAGTAATCGACTATTTTTGTATGAGTAAAACAATAGCAAGTTGATTTTTTTTATTTAATGCTTAATAATAATTCATAAAGTTAGAAAAATGAAAGCACATAAAAGTAAAAAATGAAAGGGTGGTGTTTTTCCGTTCACATTTTGTGTTCATGAATTAATTTAGACTAAACTAATGTAACATTATTCAACGAGGAAGAAATTTTTTAAAAACAAAATGAAAGAAAGGAGCATAAATTTGAGTTGCATACTCATATTATTTGTTAACCTATACTCATATTGTGTATTTTTCCTTTTTTCACAAAAGTTATAAGAATATCATGACATTAATCACAATCACATAAAAAAGAGTTCCAATGATGATATGAATATTGTGATAAACCTACTCATACTATGACCAAACTTCAGATAATTTTATGAATAAAACATTTAACTGAGAAATTATTTAGAATTCTTAGTAGTGATAGTTTATTAAATTATAAAGTCAAATATTCAGGCCAACCGTCCCGGCACATGCTAGTAATAATAATAATAATAATAATAATAATAATAATAAAGAAAAAACACATAGATTTACGTTGTTCGCTAACACAACGACTGTTGACTAGTTTACGGGTGGGAAAGAGCCAGCTTCACTATACTTGAGAAGATTACGGATTACAGAGGGTTAAGAATTATACATAGTACTTCTCCATACGACCTAACCCTAATCCAATATGATAAAGAATAAGGTTACAAACTAGATCCAGAACAAAAATCCAAACTAGACCCTGTAACTCCAGTTGATTATAGATAATCTGTTTCAAATCATATCAACAAGCATACTAAACACTAAATCAGAACAACGAACCAACTCTTCTCCCTTCAATGCAAGAGCATGCGTAAAAAAATAGCAAAAAACCCTCTCTCTAACTTTCCTTTTCTCTGCCTTCTCTCTAAGTTAGAGTTCATTTTCATGTCTCCATAGGGCTGTCGTCGACTTCCCTTTGGGACCGACGGTGGCCCTCCATCTCTTTTACCTTTCCTGCTTGTTATTTTGCTTGGTTCCTTTTTCCATTTTCATTGCATGTTTCGATTTTCCTTCTCCAGATCTCCATTTCTCCTTCATTGCCATCTTTGGGGTTTTCAATCAGCCACTCCTTGAGAGATGGATGTCTCCTGTTCCAACCTCTACTTCTGATCCTCAGATTTAGATGTGCTTGGTTCTTTCGCTCGGTGGTCAAAGGGGGCTATAGATCTTTGATCGGTAGCTTGTCTTCTCATCTTCTTACCTTTCATCTACCTCCTTGCTTCACCCAGTTCGTCGGTGTTTCGAAGATGCAAAGGCCTTCTCATATGCAGGGGCCTGGATGGGGTTCTTAGATGTTGAAGGCATGGATGCATCATTCTGAAGCTCGTCTCTTTTCTCCAAGCATGTTCGTTGCCGTTTTTGTGGTCTCCGGACTCCTCGCGGACTACAGTTCTCCCGTTGTGGCGTTGGTCCGGTCGTTGCATGGTGAGCTGGTGGTCGGCAATTGGGTTTCGCCTGCTCTGTTCGGATGTTTGGCGGCGACAGGTTGGAGAAGAGATGATAACTAGGGTTGGTGTTGGTAGTTGTCTTTTGGGTTAATTGGGCTCACTTTGCGGGCTCTGGGTTTTGGGCTTCATTTTTTTTTTTGAAACATTTGTAAGGGCTTTGTTTGTGGGCTTTTTTCCCTTTTGATTTATGTTGTATCTTTCCATGGGTTTTACCCTAAACTTTGTCCTCACTTTTAAAGTTCAATATATGCAGCTTCTTGTAAAAAAAAATCATATCAACAATTGTCCTCTTAGAAATTTGTCCAACCTGAGATGCCACTCCTCCATCTCCCAAAGCATTAATCGCAGCAGTAGCTCCACCTAGCCTCGTCCCCTAGCCTGCTCCCGTCGGCCACACACCGCCATTATAGTTTTTGGTATGGATGGAAACAACTTCAGGTGGAACCGATTTTCCTATATACCATTTCTGAACTATAGTTTTAAAATCATAATCATCTCCATAACCAAAATTTAGGGGATGTAATATGGCATACCAAAATCAACCCATATTTGGTTCGAGAAAACCCACAAGTACCATCCACGAATAGGATGGCAATGGATTGAGGTTTTCCTAAATCATTCCCTTCCCGGCTTTCAAATATAAAAACTAATACCTGTGGGTTTCGGGTACCTATGGATAATACTTGTCATGTGCATCCAACATTATAATACCTAAAATCTTACATATAAAATTTTCAATTGTAACATTAAACGTACCTACTATATCATGAAGTCGACAAAAAGACAATCATTTTTAATACGGTTAAGGAATTGTAACCATATAGGTGCGCTAAAAGTAAGATGAGCACGAGGAACAAAATTGGGTGATTGTTTAATAATACGAGTAGTGATTGGTTGGCATGGAAACTAAGTGATGCTTGGAATGGTAATCCTACTTAGCTTTTGGGAATCACAAAGAGGGATAGAGCTGGTGCGGATACTTCAAGCAAGGAGAGATGATCCTAAGGATTCGATGTTAAGCTTAGTTATTTACGTTTAGTCTTTACTTTAAGTGTGCATAGCATCACGAAGCATCAGGAAACTAAGTTTCAAGGCATTCTAGTCTAAGCTAAACTTGTGCAAGTTAATAAGTTGATTTTCCCATTGTGTGGGAGGCTTTTCAAATATGAATTAATTTAAATCTCTCCATGATGTGAGAGATTGAGATAAGCAAGCGTAAGAACTATCAAGTTTATAAGTACGAATAAGTAAGAGCATGTTTAATCCTTGCTTAGCTAGCTAGCTACGTACACGGCCACCTTCCCTCCCATTATGAGGAATTACTTATCAAGCTATAAAGTTTATTAGGCTCACTTCCCATTGTGAGGAAGTACTTATCAGGTTATCCAGCTTATCACGATTATCACGTTTTGGTGGTCTATGCGGGTTGTTTGCTTAGTGAATTTGAAATATGAAGGTTTTGACACCTAGGTTTTGAAAAATCATGGATATATGAGAATATTGGGTTCATTATGTACTTGAAAAACACCATTGTTTGTTTCATAGATTTCATTATAAATTTTATTAATTAGATTTGTATGTATGAAGTGAATTTGACTTTTATCACTCTCATTGGTATGAGAAGAGAAATGAATACGTTGGGTACAAATTTTGGACTTCACTGACCGATGATCAATTCCCACCTATAGAGGTGAGATTTTCAAATTCATGGGGCCCACGAATTTGGACCCTCAAAGTCTGTGAGCCCCACAAATTTGTTGTTACTAAATACATGAAGCAAACAATAAAGTTTGGACAAGGTCAATGATGGATCCAAGGTAAATGAGGATCCATTAAGCGAACAACCCATGTGACGATTGGATGATTTTTTTACATCATGATGACTTTTAGTATGAGATTGTTTTACCGAGTGGAGAAAATTGGACGTTTCATGGACAATGATAACCCATAATCTTTGTGAACTAGTTAAATGAAAGTATGAAACTATTTGAGACTATGACAAAATTGGTAGCAATGATGATATAAATTGATGCTAACTTGACGCATGAAAATTTAATCTTAAAAATGGTAAATGCTGATCTAGAATTTTATCTAGGATAAATTGATTCGAGGGTTTGATCTTGTGATTATATTTATACCAAGATT